GGGGCGGGAGGTGATGGCCCGCGCGGCAGCCGGCGCCGAGTTCACTGTCGGCGTTGGGAGATGGAGATGGCACCCAGCGCCACGAGCAAAGCCCAGCGTCGGCCCTGCCACCCTCCCAGCACCGTGCCAGGATGCGGATTTTGGTGTAGGGGAGGTTTTCCCCGGGTTTCCTCTGAACAAGGGGCAACGGGCACAAACTGGAGCAGAGGAAGCTCCAGCTGAACCCGAGGAAGAACTTCTTCCCTCTGAGGGTGACGGAGCCCTGGCCCAGGCTGCCCAGGGAGGCTGTGGAGTCTCCTTCTCTGGAGATATTCCAGCCCCGCCTGGCCGCGGTGCTGTGCCCCCTGCTCTGGGTGACCCTGCTTGGGCAGGGGGTTGGGCTGGGTGACCCACAGAGGGCCCTGCCAACCCCGACCAGTCTGTCATTCTGTGTGATGCTGTGAGGGATGATGCTGCATCCAGCCACATCCAAACCCCATGCAAAGAGTGGAAAAAATAAACCACCACCAAGTGACCTAAGCGTCCCTGGACAAGAGCAGATGCGCAGAGCCCATAAAAAGCAACCACTCAAAGACACCTAAGCCCCCTCCAGCGAGACGCTGCTGCTCGGGAGCGGACGCAGAGGCTGGACTGGTGAGACTTCGAGGGCCTACCCCCTCCACTCGGCACGCAGGCGGGATGGACAGACAGACATCCCTCTCCTGCTTTGCCCACCTCACCCCAGCACCCTTTCAAACTCAGCAGGTCTTTGGAGGCAACTCTGTCTCCTCACACCTCCAACGAGCTCCCTTCGCAACGCTTCCCCTCCTGACGGCCACATCCCAGGGCTGGGTTTGAAAACAAAACTCCTTATACGAGAAAACTGCCGAAAACCCCTGAAAATGCCAAGCTGCTGAAGCTACGGCAGGTCCTGCCCCCAAGAGAAGACGCAGGAACCTTCACCCAACCGCAGAGGCATGGAGGAGCCTCCTCCCCGTCCTCCACGAGCACCAAGGAGCTCGGTGCACCCACTGGAGCACCCAGTGCCACCGAGCCACGTCCTTGCCCACCCAGCTCGGTGACCACAGCTGGAGGGGCTGCAGGGCAGCCACCACGCCGGGGCAAACCCTCCACCACGCGCAGCTCCTCGAGGAAGGACCAGCCTGGCCGTGCTGTCCCCCTCCCCAGGGTGAGGAAGGAGTTAACCCTTATTTACCAGGAGAAAGTCAGCATAGACAAAGCTGGCCTGGCAGAAGAGGCAGAATTAGCCAATACTGGGTTGATTTACTGGTTTCCCTGGGGCTGTGACACACAGAACTAGTGGTTTCAGAACAACGACCCTGCGGGCAGAGAAAAGGGGCTTGGAGAAACGGGCTCTGGCTCCACATGGACACACGGCATCCGTCCATCTGCTGCCACGGCCGAGGGCCAAGCGTCCGCTCACAGCAGAGCTGCGGCGCAGCCAGCCCCGGGCTTCATCTCCGGGCACGGAGATGAGCTCTGAGCTCCATCCCCTGCTCCCGCGGTGCTACCCCGGAGCGCCGGGTGCGCCGCGGCCAGGGCTCCCACCTCGGCCGGGATGGAAGATCTGCGTGACCGCTGCTCTCACCCAGCCTGGTGGGGTGGCACCAACCCTTCTAGTCCCTGGAAATAAAAGCATCATCTGCAAAGAGAAGACAGTAACTGCTGTTATAGCATGAACGCGTTCGGGTAAAGCTGCTCCCACGCACGGAGGGAGCACTGAAATCGCTCAGACTCACGTGTCTGGCAGGGGCCGCACCAACGCCGAGGTTTTTCCTCCTCCCTCCGACAGGAGAATCGCCCTCTCCTAATGCAAAGCTCCGTTCTTCTCACAGAATCCCAGCATGGTCGGGGTTGGCAGGGACCTCTGGGGTCACCCAGCCCAACCCCCTGCCCAAGCAGGGTCACCCAGAGCAGGCTGCACAGCACCGCGTCCAGGCGGGGCTGGAATATCTCCAGAGAAGGAGACTCCACAGCCTCCCTGGGCAGCCTGGGCCAGGGCTCCGTCACCCTCAGAGGGAAGAAGTTCTTCCTCATCTTCAGCTGGAGCTTCCTCTGCT